TTGAATTTAATTTTTAAACGAATTCACTGCATTTTTTAATCAATATGTCAATTTTAATCAACGAATTTGAAAAAGCATCAATTTTGTGTTGACTTCATCATCAAAAATACTATTTTTCATGCTTTTTGCATGGATTTCAATATTTTAATGAGTATGTTTTTATTTTGAAGTTACTTGATCTACACGAAAAGAGTAATTACATGGATACATGGTGTTCTGAAAAGCATAGTTTACTAGTACACTCTATTTCAAATTCTCATTGAACACATCAAATGACACTCTAATTTAAGAACTCTCATTCTGATAAGATCATTCGAAGCTTCATAGAATTTTGTCACGATTTTACGCAGCCCAGGGGATAGGATAGGACAGATTCTGTTAACTCATTAGACAAAAAATTAATTCCATCCAATGCCATCCTGAGTCTGACATAGGAACTACAGGATGAACAAGATTTTCGCTGTATAACTGCACTAGGGACAACCAATCGAGACCAGACTAGTGCTGACGATTAGGTTTAGCCCTGACTCATATATTGCTAAAACATCAGCCCGCTATTTTCTATTTTTATGCTTGTTCAAGGAAAATATCTTCTTTTGTTGAGCGCTGTAGTGATCTAGCGAAATGGATAGTAAGTTATACTTTATAATCAAATCAACGTACTTGACATTCTGCTAGTTAAGAATTTTCTCTTTTGATTAGATCTTTTCAATAGATGAGATGCATTCCCACATATAGTAGGAAGCATCTAAATTCATTAGTGCCAAATAGTATTGTCTCATGATCGCTCGCTAAATTACACATAACACGAAAAATAAGCGTTGGATAGTTAGCATTACCAAGTGGTTACTTTACTAGGTAACCTTAAGAGATTCATTACCGCCAAAGTAAGCTAGCGATGAACTAAATATCGAATATTATTGCTAGGCATGTTGGATTGACGTGTCTAGTCAGAGTCTGGAAAAGCCCTCCTCCTGGACTAATCTGAAACTCGCTATGTCCTGGAATGTCATCTTTATTCTATCATCAACAGACGGCAGTTTACATATCAGCTACAGTCTTTTTCTAGAGAGAGATTCTTCAAGGACAGGTTCAACATCAGTTAGATATTAAATTATCATCTAGAATGAAGACTAGTACTGGACGAGGACTTTTTGAGACGCTGACTAAACACTTCTAGACGCCATGACTCCCGTCAGAAAATGATTTGAAACTGCAAAAAAGAAGCGTATTGGATACCGTTCACACGACACACTCCAATGAGATGTATTTGACTAGTCCGAACGAGTCTGACGTTAAATATATTATGAAGTAGAAGATCAGATTTGGACAAACGTATAATGTTTTACTTATCTGTCATTTAAAGAATTGAACAAAACAGACGATAAAACTTCTTCTAATATGTCTCAATAAACATTTGAAGTAAGGATTTCATAGGATTTAGAATTTTTTAAAATTTCAATACCTAGAAAAAACGCTTATTTTAGAACACAATTATGCAGATGAACTTCAATATGACCAGGGTATGAGTGTTGGAGAGTGTATGTTGTGGGTGTCAGACAGGTGACGATGAAATGAACACCAATCCAACATACCAACACCCGTACCTTAGTACTTCTACGCACTTTTAAGTTATCTCTCAAAAGCACGACGTTTTTGTCCCTGCATCAGATTTATAGCTGTATTTTGAGCTTTAAAGAATGAAGAATGACATCAACGCACAAATCGGTATGGCTATATGTAATACGCTTACTGCATAGCTTCGACGTCTGTGTTAATCTTGGAGGACTCATTTGAATTGCAACTCTAATTAGACAAAATAATGTCGATGACATATTAGATGTATGCTGATATGCATTGAATAATTAAGAATACTTTTTGCAATATTATCATTTTAGAACGCTTTGAATTGCCAAACATCAAACGAATACCATAATTTCGCGTAATGTCGTAGAATAAGTAGTACTAACTACGTATGGCTCAGATAAATGTTGTCAATCTTTCTTCTGCAATCCTAATATCTTTGATCAATATAAAGTATAGACATTATATTTTATTTTGAAATATAACTATATAACTGTTTTGTTAATTTATCTGGCATCATAATTGAAGCATATTTATGAGACAATGCTCGAGTAGAAGATTTTCACAAGTTCGGGTCTTGAAGCTTGAAAAATTTGTGAAGCGTCTATTTTAAAGTGCGTCGTATTTTCTCTGGCTTCAACTTCGCTGAAAGATTTTTTCGCTGATGACAACATTCGCTAATGCCGATTTCTTCGAATGAAATCATCATCGAAAACTATTGGATCAAATATAATTCATTTTGTGTCATGTGTTACAACAAATTAGCTAATGTGTTGCTAAAGCAATTAATTATCAGGGAGTTAGTAACTAACGAGCTTGGTAACCAACTGAATCAGTGAAGATGTGAGTTGGTGACTAACTCAGTTGTTACCAACGTCATATGACAGCAACTTAGATGGTTGCTCTAACAGAGATCACAAGGAGTGCAGACGCGGGTGTCAATCGAATGTAATTATAGGTATGAGTGGAAGTGACGTACGAGTTCGTGTGAACTCTAGATTTTCAGTTTGTTCGCACATACACCCACACTCAGATGATCATAAAACTCACATAGTGATTGACTCTTTCAGTAGTAGACTAATTAAATATCATCAAAATTTACACATAAAAAGGGTTTCATTTAGGAATGCACTAGTTCCAGTTTTAGAGTGGTAGACTAGTCCCAGTTCCTAGTTAGAACTGGAACTTGTGCATTTCACCAAAAAGAGAATAATGCGTAAAATTTTGAGCACTAACCATGTGAACATGTGGAAGGCTAAACTCGTAAGCGAAATAAAGTTTCCAACAATTACCAGGTTTGTAATTGCAATGAGCTAATCCAATAAAAGGGATTTAGAAAAAAGTACAATACTGGTAAATTATCTATACTACAAAAGAGTGTGAGTGTAGAGAAAGAGGATGAGGGTGGGATGTGAATATTAGTGGATTTAGGTGTGCCTAAAGAACTGATCCACTCTTACTCCCACGCTCACATCCGCACCCACAGTTTACCACAAACCATCCTATACCCGCACTCATCCACACTCCATATTCACAACCACCCAATACCCCACAGCCACAGCCAAACCTACACCCACCACACACCATACAGCCACATTCACATTCACCACACACTATACAGCCACATTCACATTCACCACACGCTACACACTCACATCCACACCCAGAAAAAAAACAGATAACTCTTAAAGCCAATCATCGAATTTTCAGAGCATCTATTGTTTTTGCTCTTTTCACAGCTTTTTTTAAGCTTTGCCGATTAAAAGTACCTTTCCTCTAGCTGCACAAATATTTGCCAAAAAAGCCCAACAATAAAGATAGTAATATTGTATTGCCATGTTTCTTTTGTAAGCAATAAATTTTAATGTTGCTCTCTTCAAGCTCGCCTCTTCAACAAATGTCAGTAAAATGATGAAGTAATCTATAAAAGGAGACGACTTCTACTGCATTTTCAGCGACTTTTGACTATTTTAACATTTCAATTCAATTACTAAGCGCACAATCAAGTCTAAAACGCAACAACAGGTAAGGAATCAATCAGAAAAGAGGAAATCAAGGATCTGTGTATCAGGGGCATCTGGATGTATGTAGGCGTAGGAGTGGCGGCCTCAGTGTTGGTGACAGTGAAGAGAACACTCGTAACTGCAACTCGACACTGAATCCACAGTTACACTCAGACATCCAAAAGCACAACCATGGGTGTGGATGCTAGTCTTGACTCAACATACACTAGCACCCAGATACTCATACCCACAGTCACACTTGATGAGAACGAGACTTGATATCTCTTTTTCAATTACGCATCCGAATCTATAAAGTTGTCAAAAACTCCTCATAGTTTTTGAATAGATAGACGAATATCAGTTGATTCTTCTACAGAAGCCAAACTTTATTTTAACGTGGTTTTTAAATATTTAAAAGAATGAAAAATTGCGTTCAAATTGAAATATACTCTATGTTTAAGTTTCAATCTTGCTTTTCATGATACAGTTGTAACGAGAATTTTTGTTTTTATTGTTCTACTTCAGAGTAATAGTACTCGAATCAATGCTAGTAATTTATCAGAAATATGAAGCCAATATGCTGCGTATTCAGATATTCATATCTATTACAAAATCTTCATATTCTATATACCTTCATTTGTCTATAGTAAGAGATGTATCCCTGAGAATTGTAGACAGGCATCAATAACTATCGATCAAAGTTTTCGAGCATCTGTGGAGTTCATTTGCGTACCATTCAGCGAATCATAACTAACACAGTGTGATTTAGAGACTTTAACGTACATCGATACTCACAATAAGATTGTTTTAGTTCTACAACAGCACAGTCAGTTTCAATCGAATTCGGATCATAAATAGTCAGGGTATGGAATTACGAAAGCGGAAATTTTCGACTCATAAAGTTTTTACCTTCATAGGTTATCCAGTTCGTAGTAGGACGGAATCGCTCATATCATTACTCTGCTGTGCGTAGTCAAATAGCGACATGGGTTTATAAGCATCATATATCATTCATACGATTGGAAATGCAGTGAACGAAGAGAATAAGGAAAAAGACGACCTTCGTGGGACTCAAGCCCACATCTCCTGCTATCCAGGCAAATGTTCTAAGCCAATTAAATCAGAAAACGTGTCTTAGTCTTGGTTTAGCATCGCAGTATATCATCATTGACGCTAACAGGTTTTTGTTGCTGATCTAGATTTATTGGGTGGAATGTGGGTGTGAGTAAGAGTTAAGAGAAGAGCCATATCGATGCTGCTTCGTTCAAGAAAGAACATAAGAGAGATAAAAAATTAAAAGTGAACGATATATTTGTTTACTTTAAATGGCTCAAGAGAGAAAAACTACATTACTGTAGTGAATATATTGACTGCTGAGTCAATTTTGTAGAACTCACATATTTTTCGAAGAAAATGGTGAGTGTAAGTTTAAGAGCAAGTTTTTGTGGCTCCCACTCCTGCTAGACCCTTCTCCATTACAGACATACTCCCATTACAGACCGTAGCAATGAACAATAACAGGTGTCACATTTTTTAGATTTTGTTGCAAAATCGATCAAGTTATAATTTTAAAAAATAGTAAATATTACTATTTGTGAGTTGATTAATATAAATAATAGTGCATGAGACCTGCTGTAGATATCATGAATATGTAAAACAAACATATTTGTCAATTAATTCAACGATTATAATGATAAGAATGTTAAATTAAGAAGAAAAGAATTTTAAAAAATGAAAATTCTTTTCGAAATGCAAAAATTAGAGAAGTCATTACTCTGAATATCAATTATCCTGCAAGCACCTATAATCTACGAGAGATTTATCACTTTATGTGTTGTGTACTAGTTTAATTAGGCTAGATAGTATATATGAGTTCTATATTTCAGCCTTAAAGGAGCTGCGCTAACAAGCTTTTTCATGAAATAAAAGCAACAAAAATGACTTTGATGGAGCCAGGAATCTTGATACTCATCTTGTTACAGGCATGTTGTCATTTTCAGACATTAGTACAGAACTTTTTGTCACTTTCAATCGCTTGATTTCAAATTTCAGACATTTTGAAACTCGGGAACGCGATACTAACACTTTGATCAGACTATAGATAATGCTATAAGAATATTTAGCTGGGCAAAGCGAGTACGGAGAATGTTGATGATATCATGTGGATATAAAGCATATTTTTAACATGCTCAGAATATGCAATTTCCGTAGGGACTACCGAATATGGGAATATACATTTTCAACTCTTGAAGAATAATGATTCGTTTCATTCCACTTCTTAACGTGCTGCCAACGAATCATTTCCCATATCTAGTACTTCTAATATCCTATCTTCAATGCAATTCATCCTTTCAGTAGAGGGTTAGCAGCGTTTGCGCTGCGTTACTTGTAAAATATATACAACAACATGGAGAACATTTTACTAAGTCTGATTCACAATTAAATCTTAGTTCTGCTTATCAAGCGAAGACTATACGTGATTTCGATACACATATTGTTATACCAGAATATGGTTTTCATGATGTTGAACATTATTATACTGAAGCATCATCAAATAAACGGATAAAATATATTCATACACCAACACTTATTTTAAGTGCTAATGATGATCCTGTTTGTCCTGTTGATGGTTTACCAATAGATGATGTTTTAAAAAATCCATATATTATTGCAATTAAAACTTTAGAAGGTGGATATGTTAGTTATCTTCAAGGTTTGTGGCCAAAAGCATTTTCTTATGATAACATTGTTGTTGTTGTTGATTATATTAAAGCAAGACTTAAACAAAGAGGGGTGTCCAAGGACTGAGGAATAGGAATTCCTACTCAGTTCCCTGACATCTCCTTGAATGCTAAAATTAAAAAAATACAATATCCACGGTATTTATTACTCTTACACTCGTTTTCATCAAGAAATTTGTGCACATGAACGTATGAGTACGAAAATTATTGCAAAAAAAGCATTATCTTGACTTTCATGAATGAGGGAGCTGTGATGGAAATAATGGTCAATTCCCATTTCCCCAAGGAATTATCATAGCTACACTGACAATTCCTCTACAAATTAGGAATTCCTATCTCTCAGTCCTTGGACACTGCTGGGAATTTGACAATGTTCACATATCATATGATAATAGTTTTCTACACGATCTGTAACAAAATCTTCGTTCTAACTTAACCCATATTTTAATTTTTAAAAGTCATTATTGAACTTTTAACTGTTGCTAAAATTACAAATTGATTAAGACATTATAGTTGAACACTCATTATGCTGCTAACGGAATGTGTTCCAGTCCCTTGGGTTCATATGCTATAAGACGAGACGGTAAGCGTATACATGCTGTTCATTCTTTCACTTTAATGTTTGATGAACAGTTGAGTCGACAGACATCGTTTAGACATCTATAAGGTTTTAATTAATTTGTAATTTCACAAACAATAACAAGTTCAATAATGAAGTTTAAAACTTTTCAAAAATTAGAAATACCTGTTAAATTAGAGGGAAGATTTTCTAGAGATCGTGTAGAAAACTATATGCTGAAATGGTATGTGAATATTATCAAATCCTTACATTTGTTCAATTTTGAACTCTCTATGGATTGGTACTTGATCCTACTTTCTGCCATCTATATGTGCTGAATTATTTTTAAATTTAAAAAATCGAAAATTTTTAAAATTTGAAAATTTGACTTCTGTTTTAAAGATTTGAGTATGTCAAAAAATATTCGTCTTTTGATAGTGTGTCTGACGAGGAAACCCTATTCAGGTGCCAAATTCCGATTCCCTTCATTCATACCTCATTCAATAGAGTATAGGGAAGTGGTCAAAAACTAAACATATTATCGGCCATCAATTCTTCCTGGAGCCGTTATAGGTATTTTCCTCGAAAACCCAATGCAAATAAGCAGAAATCGAAAAATGTATAGCTCAGTCTAGGAAAATCGTAGAAGGTTTAATAGTTTTTTCAAGGTAGTAGTAAAGTTTTAGTACACATCCTGAAAGTTTCAGATCGGAATCCTCTTTCCTTTCGAAGATACAGTCGGCTTGTCCACATAACGCGATACTTTGCTGATCAAGTTTCAAAAAAATTTTCTTTCGAATTTGATAGATCTGAATGAGTTGCTAGATGCAGCTTTTAACGCTGACTACAAATTTGACATTTATTTTGTACAAAAATTAGATTTTAGCATTGAAAAACCAGGTTGTAAACTTTTCAAAAATCGTATTTCGAATTTCCAACGAAGAAATTTTTTTAAATAAAGTCGAATAACACATCATTCGATGCAGAATTTCATTTTCTACAAGACGACCTATTTAGTTTTGACTTTCGTGGCTAAAGACAATTTGTAGACTCGTATACAGTTTCCAATTTACTGCGTCTCTTGTCGATGTATCGATCTCATTCTTGCGTAGAACGATTAGTTCTACAGAACAGACTAACACTAATAAAAATCAAATCGTTTTAATCATTTTAAGTACCTCGAAATTGACCGACAAAAAATTGTCACAGCGTTACGTTTCATTTTTGGATTTTTTATCTGAGCAAAAATAACTTGGAGAAAGCTTTTTCAACGTTTAAAAGTCCGTTCAAAGCTTTACAAAACTCGTTCCAAAAATATTGCATTTGGAGAAATATTTTCACAAGAAATCGCAGTTTTATTAGTGGCTCTGAAGAAAAAGTGTCCTTTTATGCCACGGCATGATGCGATCAAAAACCCTTTTTCGAAGCTCGAGACTTACCGAAAAGTTCGTTTTTATAACATAAACAGAGTTTGACAAGCTGCGTCGAACGGCGTTTGAACAAGCCTTCTAGCTTTCATAGTTTCAGAGATAATGCAAAAAAAGTGTGTCAAAAACATTACAGTATTACGTTTGGACAAGTCGAAAAACTCAAAACAGATCAGACAGATCCATAGAAAAGCTTTTGTTCATTATTCTACATACTAAACCGAATAGATCCCAGTGAAAAATGTGGAACTTTCTAACACGTCCCAATTTTTGTTGGAAGGCGTTTTTTTAGAAAACAACGTCTTCCAACAAAAATTGGAACACGCTCCGAAATGAAAATTACATGCTGAGAAACGTTCTAGTTTTGTTGGAACGCGTTAGAAAGTTCCACTTTTTTCACAGGGATTTTGATCGATTGTTTATCGTTACTAATTACAACTCAAAACTATCTAACAGACAAAAAACAAATGAACGATTTTTAACTTATGTGATCCTTGTTGTAAAATGATAGCTGTTATCAGTCTGATTCTAATACATGCAAATACTAGTTTAATGAATTACTAGCTCTTAAAAACTCTTTCGAATGTCATCTTCAGACACTATTATACAAGGAGCTGTTATTACATACGTTTGCAATATAAAGAAGTAAAAATGTTCGAACTGGTTTTTTTTCTAGAAATCAGAGCAACCAACTGAGTAGTACAACTCATCGAAGATTCCACCATCTTTAGCGTCACTTTCAACGTATTGTGCTCCAGAGCGATCACTTTTCAATCAAAAATAACATTGAATTCGGATGAAAGCTTTCAATAATTTAGAGAACACCAAAGAATATGTTCTTTTCTTTTAGGAATGATGTTAGATTGTCTGAAATGCTTTCATCAGTTCAAATAATGCATTCTCAAGCGTTTCTCGAAAGTGCAATCTCATTTTGATGCAATCCTATCTTCACCATTTTAATAAAGAATGGACCGAGACTTATTCTTTTGGTTTATGGAAGGGTTCAGAATGCTGTCTAATCTAGATAGAGAAAGGTTTTTGAGCTGAGGAGAAAGCATTCCGTAAGTGTGGAACGACAAAGAATGTATTCATTTGGACTCGCAACATTTCCTTCGGTTTATGAACACCTTCAATTAACTGCAGAACGCGCTCTTCGAGTAAACACAAGTTTCTATATTTTCATGAACGCGTTCTCTTCCGTTGTTTTGTTATCATGATTTTTCATTGGAATACATTCGAACATAATTCATCTTTTTTTGTTAACCAAAATTCACAAATTTTATCTATTTAAAGATAAAATAAAAAAGAAAAAGTCCTATTTGCTTTTATTTGCTGGATAACAAAAGTTTCTCTTAGTCATATAAAATATTGGGCACTCTTCTCTATATCATTTTGTTTCTTGATAAATAGATTCTATGATAGAATAAAAAATCCATTCAAATAAAAAATAAATAACAATTTTATGTTCTAGAAGAATGACCAAAATAAAGATATGAATATTAAAACGATGTATTATACATCCTTTTTAACGGCAGAAGCTCTTGTCGTTTTATTCAATGACTCCTTAACTATTTCATTTTCATTTGTTTTTCATTTATAAAATATGAAATTCGATTACTTGGCTTAATAGAATTTTCTAAAATCATAATAAAAATAGATTTTTTAATCTTTATTTCGTTATATTCAAATAATTACAAAAAATCAAAGTTTCGACAAAGGAAAATAAGCATGAAAGTCTTTTGATTGTGCTTCTATTGAGTGATCATCACTATTGTCATCATTGTTAAGACTGTAAAAATCTAATTCTTCGACATTGATACAATTAAGTCTCGTTGCATCTCTTGTAAAGTTATTTGTTACAGTTTTCAATTGATCATAATTAATCCGTAATTCTGTCAGACAAGGCAAACGTGTTTTTGATTCATTCAACATTTGCTCAACATAGTCAATATGTGTATGGCCAAAGTCAAGTGATGTGAGATGAAAATATTGAGCAACCTCAAATGGTCCATGATTGTCATATTCAGATTTATTTGAATCTGTTGACTGTGCTCTACGATTTAAAATAATTAAAGATGTCAATAATGGAAAACATTGAGCCAGCCGAACAAAAAATTCATGTTCAAATGGAATCCCGTCATGCACACCTAAACAAGTAATATTCTTGAATATCGTATTCGTAAAGCTATTGCCAATAGGTCCTATACGATTAAATATAAACGGGAGTGAGAAAACATGATATCTGATATGAGATTCATTGATATAATTGATGCTACAACCAATTTGTCCAAATTTTACATTAGTAAAAGTTCGTTGAATATTATCATTCGATGAAGTAACAGGATGATTGGTACTAGTAAAAGCACAGATATAAAAAACGAATGTTTGAAGTTTTGATAAATAAATAAGAACATCATTTTCAAGTTGAATACCATCGACAAATCTATTTCGTTCGTCGATTTGAATATATAATGTTAAATCTTGAAGATTACACATTCGACGAAGAAGAGGTATAACTTGATTATCATATTCATTGGTTAAAGATTCATACTTCAATGAGAAACATTTCAAATTAGGTAGATCATTCTAGAACATACAACACAAATAGTTTTTACCATTTGCAGAAAGTAAAAAGGTTAACAATCCAAAATGATAGATTAAATTTTTAAAATTTTTCATGAATCTTTTTAATCACTCGATTACGTACAAAACTTTTTGGTAATGATAAATAAAAAAGACATATAAACTTTTAATAGATTAAAACATGATGAGTTGTATTGTGATATTACAAATTAATGAATAAATGATATTAATTAAATAATCTTATCAATATACTTGAGTATTTCTCTATTACATATTAAATTAAAAGAAACCTTTTTACATTAAGTGGTTCATTCTATTTAAAAAATATGCATGAGGAAATTATACAATAGTCGCCAAGTCCCTTCCCCTCAAGAAAACTATCTAAAACTCAACTTTCAGTGCTCATATTTTTACTGCAAATAGAACTCAGTGAACCCTGATCGCAGGAGCCAATCAGGACTTGATCCACCATCATGCAGATGAGCTAGCAAATGAACATGGACTTTTCTTCTGATAACGATATTTCAGCATAGGAATCAAATCTCATGGCGTTCGATCCCTCATTCGAAAGCTCAGTACTGCCTCTATTATCAAGGAAAATTTCGTATTATATATTTTTACTTTGCCTAATTTATGAAGTAATCTTTGGGTAGTGTCGACGTGAGAGTTAATGGGGTTCGTCGAAAAGTGGCCTATAAGTCCGACTAATTTCAGTCATTTGCTTTGAAATTGTCTTCAATGAATGCTCTCCCTCATTTACGTTTTATCTGAAAGTTTCACGATTGTAGCCTTTGATAGAGAGGAAATAAATGTTGAGACTGTTTCAAGCAATGAAGGCTTTCTCGCATCTCAAGATCGCAACGGATTGGAGTACCCTGTCTGTGATGCATTCAAATAGTGAAGAATCAGAATAGTGTCCAAAAAACCGTGTTTGGAGCACACGGAAATAAGTGTTTTCAACCTAAACCGATTGTACTGAGGCCAGTCGACCTCGAGTTGATCCTTGCGATCATGATTTACCGAGCTCTATTTCCAGTAAAAATATGAACCCAAACAGTTGAAATTTAGATAGTTTTCTTGAATGGGAGGAACTTTTTGCTACCATTATAAAAGTCAATCACTTACAAAACAAATAATATTGGATCTTTGTTACTTACTGAGTTGAATCCCATCGATGAATTATCTTTGACATTAACAATAATAACAATAAATGTTGATAATTGATTGAGATGACCATCAAGTAAACAAAGACAATCTTCGAAACTGTCCACAGTAACACATAATTTAGTTAGATTTGAAGAAACAAAAGTAGTTGATGGTAAATTAATAAATGATAAAACTGGATTTCCATTAACATATGATCCAATACAACTCAAATAGTTAAGATTTTCAAAAAAATCAAGCAATTTTATATATACATTTGTTGTTTCATCTATAATTCCTACTTTACCAACGTAATCATTGAGTAGTGTAAGATCTGTAATTTGTTTTTTGAAGTTGTATCGGAAAAGTAATTCATCTAAATACAAAACATAAATAGATATTCAAATCTTCTATTTTTTATTTCTATAGATTTCATTTATTAGATAAATCAATTCATAATAAATTATTTACCTGTACAAAAATGTGAAAAAGTATTTGCATGAAATTTAAATATTTTCAATTGAGTCAGATTTGGATAAATACCAGCACGCAAAATACGATCTATCATTGTTGTTTCCAAAACAAGACATTTAACATTGTTTTGAATTCGAGGTAATATTGAATTACAAAATCGATTTAGTATTGATTCATTAATTGAATCATTATCGGTAAACACAAAATTGAGAATGTTTGTAAAAATTTCATCTTGCGCTAGAAGGTCAAGTCCTTCAACTCCTATTAATGAATAGAGAACATCCATATTGTTCAATTTTTTAAAGATCTTTAGTAATATTTCAACAGGTAGATCAAGTAAATGAATGTCAGTACGATTCATGTTTGTTTCTGATCGTTGTAACGTTTTTTCGAAAGCGCTTATATATATATATATATATTTCTTTTTTTTCCGTCCGTGTCTAGCTCAATTACGGTCAGTCAAGAATGCATCACAGGACCTCATCGAAGAAATAAAAATAACATGAATGTTCTCTCTCGTTTGACTCTATACAATATATCTTCATTCATTCTCTTTCCCGCATGTTCTGATACAAACATTGTCAAACTATAGTGCTCATATCTAAAAGAGAATGAAATGAAATGGTATGTACCCTCAGTCCGATGACTCATCGAATAAATATTAAATAATAAACTTATGGTGGAGACACATGTCTAGACACTTTTTCGTAAGATGCTGTTACCACAGTACATTGTCGTACTAGGTATCTAACAAGTGGTGAAATTCGTTTCTCTAACCCGAGAATGATTTTTGAGATAACTGCCTAACAACATATGGTATCCTATGGCAACAAAATGCACTTACTGAAACTTCGTAAGTAGAACGAATCGAGTTCTGTGTCACTGTTCAATCGATTCAGCGCATCCACTAATAATCAAAAAATCTCGATTTGACTAAAAAAGAATTGGGAAACTCAAACAAAATTTTTGATCATGCTGTCTCAATAATATCGTTAGTATAAATAATCTGTGCTAGGATTGATCAGAATATTTTGATGATTTTATATCGTCGCCTCTCTTTAGTGAAGCCAAAAATATAACTTGACAGTAGTGTATTTGTTTATGCTATCTGTATGAAAATTTTTTCAAATAACCTTCTGCTACTAACCAAAAAAAAAATCAGTCGATTCTAGCAAATCAAACCGGATATATTTCAATTTTTTCTCGTAGTGCTATTTATGGTCCAACCTATATTATGTTTGACAAAGGTACTATATAATTTTATTTCGGCAACAAATATGAGTAAGATCAATGTTTCGTACTGAAGCTTGAAGGCATTGTTTCATTGAAACTCAGTCAAAAAGTTAATCAAAGTAATGTATCGGCTTTGTATAGCGATATAGAACATATATTCTATAAAAGAGATGCGATTGGTTTGTGTTTTTTTTTGGAACCGATCCGATCTCTGTACTATAAATATCTCTCCAGGTCAAATAGACACGATATAAAGACATAAGAATGAAAACTGGTTCGATCATGATTGAGCAATTTATTGTTCTTGAGAGTAGGTCACAGAAGTGGAAAACGATATTGTTTTACTAAGGGAATTCGTTTTCAATGAAGACTCATTTACAGATGATGAAAAACCATATGACAAAGTAATTGAATACATGAAGAGGAAAATAAATTATCAAAAATATGAATATGTATTATCATGCTGAAGAAAGCATTCATACAAGTGTTTACAAATATGACGTTTGATGTCAACACTGAGTTTCATTCCAGCGTTATTAGCAACAAATAAATATATATATATTTAGCGAAATTGATTTAGAAGCAGAAAGACACCAAGTGAATCCTGAATCACTTGCTATTTTATGGAATTTGAGATGATCTCTTTTGTTTTCATTGATGTTTATGAAAGAAACTTAAAAGTAGACTTTTTCATATAAAGTAAAAGTTTGAAAACTTTGATATGATTGTGAAAGTACCGGTCGGATGTCGATTAGTTTCGGGTCCGGATGCAAAAAATCGTACTCATATAGGACACTGATTGAAAACAGTCGCATACTCAATTTTTAGACCGTTATCAACTCTGTACGGCACGATAAAATACGATTGTAATATGGTACCTACCAAACGTCAATTTACAGTGATTTACAATCGCAAACTGCATGAAACGGTAGTATACAGTATAGTTTTTAACCGTCTCGGCTACTATAATTATTCTCCTGACCAAAAAAGTATATCATATATTACATATATTTTTCTTTATTTTATCATAGACAAAGTAATTTCATGACAATGTATGACAAAAACAAACTGCAAAAAAAAAAAAAAGAAAATGTACATTTAAAAGTAATGTCGATTTATAGTTGTTGTTAAAGTTGTTTGATCATCACTATCATCATCCGTTATAATTTGTGAATTATTCATAATAGTTGTTGTTGTTGTTGGATTAGAATTTAAACATTCTGTATACATATTATCATAATCTGATTCAATATTTGATAAAATACTTTGAGATAAATTATCTAATTGTACTGATGATATATCACTTAAATCAGAATGTGGTATTGATGATGAATCTGTTCGTTTTGAAAATTTTTTTAAAAGATTATTTTCAAATGAAAGTGGTCGATTTCTATGTTTAAGTGATTCATGTCGTATAAGATTTGAATTTTTTCGAATTGGTTTATATCGTATATGATTATGAGAATATTTCGTTGATTTAGTATTTAAAATTGGATATGTATGATCTTGAATTGTATCAGATTCATCATCATCTGTTGAATCATTTTCAATTGTAGAAAATCGTTTTGATTTTCTTGTTAATAATATTGGAATTTGTTTTGTTTGACCACGAAATTGATTTAATTGATCTTCAAGCCAATTTTGTAAAAAATCACGATGACATGACGATGGTAATTGTACTTCTTTTGAATGTAAGCTACAACAAAAAAAAAGAATCAATAAATATGAAATTTTGTTTAATAATGTCAAAATTACTTTGATAAATTATTATAACTTGATGAAAGACGTATTTGTTGATGATCATTTGATTGATAAACAATATTTTGTGTCCAAGGTTCATGTTGAATTGATATTTCACTTTCAGATGTTTCAGCAATTAATTTACGTGCTAAATTAAATGGTACTGTTCGAAATTTAGGTATTTCTTGTTGTTGTGATGTTACTGTAGGAGTAGTTGATTTAGGATCTGTTGGTGTTGTTGTTGTCATATTAACAGTAAATGATAAATCACATGGATGTGATGGATAATAAGAATCAATTATAGGTGAAGAAGATGTTTGTTTAATAGATTCTTGTTGTTTTTCATTATTTATTGGTAATAATGAAGAACATGGATCATCCCAACCAGAAAATGATGAATTTGTTTCTTCATTTGTTGGTGATAAACTATGTGAAAGATTAATTATATCTTTTGGTGATTGTTCATGTAGTAATTGATTAAATTTATTATCAGTAGAATTTTTACGTTCAGAAGACAATGGATGATTTGATAATGGTGGAGTTGATTTAGAACGATTATTATCGCCTAAATAAAAGAAAGAATTTCAAATATTCGATAAAATATCTTGAACGAGAAAAGTCTCCTAAATGACTAATCGTTTTTGAAGCGGGACTATATGCATCATGTAGATTCTAATAAGATATGAATATCCTGAGAAGATTTCGAACCATTTACGGAGCATCAGAAAAACTAATTTTCAAATTTCAATTTGAAAATTTATATAACGACAGGACTTACTTAACGAGAAAAGTTTACTATGAAAATTTCAGATCTTTTCGAAGATATAGCTATGGTAAAAAAAAGAAATGTATCTTTCATGTCACTCATATACATCGTTATATTCGATGTTCTTATTTTAAGCTATGAACAAATCAAGAGATCTCAATTTTTCACAGTAAACTATTCTTGTTAAGGCCTAGCCCATGTAAAAAAAAATATGTAAAAAAATCAATTTTAATAATCAAAAAATCGATTAAAAATCGATTTTAATCATACACCTTTAATCAATAATTCAAGCAGTAATAATCAAAACAAAATCAGATGATAATCGATTATTTCAAATATGATGATTATAATCGATTTGATAAAATTTAGAAAATCGATTCTAATCATCATATTTGAAATAATCGATTATCATCTGATTTTGTTTTGATTATTACTGCTTGAATTATTGATTAAAGGTGTATGATTAAAATCGATTTTTAATCGATTTTTTGATTATTTTTTTTTACATGGGCTGTCGTTATGCAAAGCTTCAAGTTTAAAATTTGGAACATTAGTTTTTCTGATGTTCCTAACAGAGACCAAGATATTGAATTAAAAAATGTCATATCTCTGCAGCAATAAGCTGAGAGCTCGAAGCCATCTGACGAGGAAACATTCCTAAATGTCTCGCTCTGATTTCGTTCGTTTATATATCATTCGATTGAGAAACTCGAGTAGATTAAAAGCCTCAAAAGGATTTCGGCCGACAACTTTTTCTTCAGGAGTTACAATCACTTTCAGGATTTTTGACTTGTTCTGATAGTTTTAGTAATTGTGACCTTACATTGAAATTTGTCTATCAAATAGTTTCGATAATAAAAAAAAAAAAAAAGTAATCAAATACATTCAAATTTCAAGAGAATCAATAAATTTCTATAATACAAAAAAGAAATTTAACCTGTTGATTTATTAAGTAATTTTTGTGTAAGTATTAAATATTTACTAGCACTTGTTATTGTTTCTTTTGATGACCAAGAATTATTTTCATTTGAATGAATCATTTTTGAAAATTTTTTCATTGGACTTATTTGATGTAAATTATTTGTTGTAGAATCTAATGCTTGTAAAAGTGTATGACGATATGATGATTGACTTGAATTTCCATTTAATGTATGATTACGTTTTCGTGATGATTGTTTAAGAAGACTTTGTTGATCATTAAGAATACCTGATGATGATGTTGTAGTTGTTGTTGTTGTTGAAGGATTTTTATCGTTATGATAATTATGTTTATATTGATATTGAGAATCATCTATACTAGAAGATTTTGGAAGAATATCATTATTTGATTGATTAATTGTTAATGGAAGAGCATTACGACCCTATTTAAAGAGAGAATTTTATAATTTTTTAAGTTTTATATATTCAGTTAAGATAAAGACAAGAATATAAAATGATAAATTAATAATTACGATAAGAAATCTGAAATTTCTTATAACAAGTTAAATATTTTGAATATTAATAAAATTTACGAAATTATATTCAATGCAAAAAATTTCATTTACAAA